TTATCTGTATGATGTCTCCTTTGCATATATCAATTAACTTGGAATTACTTTAATTTTAAATCTATGAAAAATAAACTCAAGTTCTTTTTTTCTAAAAGGAAAAAACAGATACAATTTCACAACGCTTTTATAAATTTGATTAAAGCTCTTGTGTAGTGAAAGCCACAGTGTTATTAGTGCTGTTCCCAAGAGAAGATACATAACACTGTGGTTTGAATGTGCAGCTGTAGAACTGCATAAACAACAAGAGTCATAAATGTATTAAATGGTGATAAGGTGTATAAGGACAGTATTACCAGGTAATTTCAGGTAAACTATATTGTTCCGTTTAATTTTATTTGGATCACCACTTTTACAACTTTCATGTGCAGTTTTAATGTCATTAACTCAATATTCAATAAACCCACCAAAATTATCTGTATAGATTTTTATCTACTCAGTTCTAAGTGTATTATGATAAAAAATTAAGGATTGTGACTATCTGTGTCCACAGGCCTGTGCTACCAGATTTGTCTTGCCAGATACTGCTATGTGTACTCTGCGTTGTCTTTGGTGTTTGATCAAGTGCATACATACTTGTCCCATTTCAAAGCTGCTCATTTTAATATGGCTGGGTTCCACATTGCGAACATCATGGAAACCACATTCTGCATGTGGAAAAATAGAAAATTGCACCACTTCCTGTCTTCTATGAAAAATTGTCATTTGGTAGGCTATGTGGCTTGACATTTCCTGCCTTTGGAAAATACAGTACACGCTGATGGAATGAGTAACACCTACAGCAGTAATTACTGTATACACAACATAACCCCACCTAAAGACTAGGAAAAAGGGTTGAGTTTATGTAAGATTGGCAATGGCAGAGTTATGTTAGTGTCTGAAGAGTTTTGCATGAGAATGGTCCACTTGTGACACTTGATTTTAATATTCGTAACAAACTGGAAAGATATCTAGCAAAGACCAGTGTCAACATGGCTCTCAAGGAACATGTAGAAGTTAATGTAATTCCACACTGAAAGGTAGAAAGAAGGAAAAGACACAATGTTTTGGCTGTTAAGCCTTCTTTGGTGTGAGAAGCCTCCCTCTTCAGGTGTGATAATCCTTAACAGCCAAAATGTTACGATTATTCTTTATAAATTCAAAAGGGAGGTAATTTTACACTCAAAATCAATATGGCTGGTGTGCTTTTATAGAAAGCCTCATAAAGTATTTTAAGGAACTGAGCATTCTTTTAGGTATTTGAGAAAAGCAATTTTTACTATGTAAAGTGTAGGTTTTTCTTTGCTTACGTTAGCAGTGTATCAGTGCATCTTGTAATAAATCATATTACCATCTTTCTTTTAATGGTACTGTACTTCTTATTGTAAGTCTTTTTGAAGAAGCCTGTTATTCCTGTCTGAAATTAAAATGTAAGATTTTTAGGCATCTGGTGTGTTTGCAGGTATCTCTAGGCTTATTGTGGACAATTGCCATGTCTGACTTTCAAGGTTTTTGTTTTAAACTTAAGTTCTTGTGGTTCCTCTCCACTATTTCCATTTCCTGACTTTTCCGTTCCTGCATGGCAGTTTTCTAAGGCTCTGATGATGGTATTCTTTGAACTCCAAGTGTTTTGGGTAAGTGATGCCAGACTAAAAAACACCAGAAAAAAAGGGCAAAGAAAAATGGATCAGGTTTGTAAGGAGAGGCTTAAGTTTTGGTACTGTAAATAAAATAAGATTAATGACGGCTGCCTCTCAGATGGTAGCCTGCCATTTGGATGATGAGAAACCCCAGGATTTGGTCTAGGAAAATAATCCAACTGAATTATTCATTTTTAATTTGTCTCATTTATCTCTGTTTTTTTCCTTCGGCTGGGACCACAGCCATTAGGTTTTTAGTTTGAATCTGAATATAAGGCTTTAGGCTGCCAGTAGTGACAGAGGAGAAGGGGAGGCAGGGTCCGTGGAGAGGCTGTTTGAGCAAACCTGCCAAGAATGCACTTCAGCTAGGGAATAGCAAAGACAGAATGTAGTGATACCAGCACCTCAAGGTCAGTATTGACACAGAAAGTCCATTCCATTTCCTTAACATGCCAAATGCCTTTTTTAGCATTCCCAAAGCAGAAAATTGCCTTTTACTAAAGTATGAATGCATAAGAATGCATAGTTTGCAGTATTGTTTTAAAGAGAAAGTTCTTGAGAATTTTAAATCAGAAATCAAGAAATGCCTACTACAGTTATAGCAAAGTACAAGACAGCTGTAAAATGCTGGAAACATGAACAATGGGAAGTAGATTTTTTAAATCAGCAATATGCTTAATGTCTATGAATGTTTGGGAGTAAGCAGGGCAATTCATCTGCTCTTCCATTAATTGAATTTAAGACTAACAGACACAAAGTCCTTTACTTCAAAGATGACTGATCCCTTAGGGTCATTTGCATGAAACAGAGCATTTCTTAATCTCTAAAGGAGATCTCACCTCGTGACTTTGCAATCTGCAGTCAAATGATATAAAACATTAGAGGCATCTTTCAAAGTAGGCCCACAGTGAAGTGTGTTGCTGTTGAAAGATAAATCTGAGGGATAGGCAAGGGCGACTGCAAAGCTAATCATGCCTGTGTTTTAAATGGGCCCATTGCTTTGTAGATAAATAGATAAACTCAGAAGGATCAATACAGTATGCGGACAGGTTGCTGTATAAATTGACAGTGAATTAAATTGACAGCCATATAAATGGATTAAATAAAAGCCAGATGACTGGGTTTGTAGCCAGATTGACAGCCTGGAGAACTGTAAAGACAGAGGGGATATTCTGAAAGACAACTATCAATACATAGCACAGGGGAGATACTTGAAATGTATGGATTTAAGAGGCAGGAGAGATTGATCAGCAAATAACTAGAAAAACTGCAGCAGATGGATACATTTTGATTGTGATTATAATCCAGTTTGAATAATTAGAATATAATATATACATACAGTACACTGATCAAAAGAACAGATACAATAGGTGGAAAATGGGAAAGACAGATACATAAATGCAAGTGTAGAATAAGAGTGCATATAACAAGTGGACAGATGCATGCAGAGGAGACATAGGGATAAAAAACTGAGACTGTGTGATATGTGGAGAAATAAAGGTTAGGGTGGTATGGTGTAGAAATATATTCAATAATTGTAAAGCTCGCTCCAGACTATGTGGTGAAGACTGAGGTTATTCAACAAAGACCAAGTACGTTTTTTCATCTGCACACAAAACTCTTCTGACTGGAGGGTCACACTGAAGGCTCTTGCAAATTGATTCACCTGACCCTAAAGCCAGCCGGGCCTGCTCTGATTGCTCTTTGGCTGACCTGTGTACTCTTGGGGCAATGGATTAGCAGCCTTCTCTAATCCTTTTGAGAGATTAAACAGCTGTTGGTCATTGGCCATGCCGTATTCAATAAGACTAGACAAGGGATCCCACTAAATTTGGACTGACCGTCTTGTCCGTCACTTTGAAAAAGAACAGATCTTGACATTCTCCCTTCAAATCTGCAAACATCTTATAAAGGCCTTGAACGTGCTCACCAAACCCCTTTGCTTTACCATAAGCATCCATTGATTAATTCCATTGTAAGACACATTACGTGTTTGATCAAATAAGTCATTAATATTATAAGCACACCTCAATAGCCTATCATTTAGAAAAGTTAAATGTAATCAAATGAAGCATGAATATAATATTAATAATACATTGTTAATAAATGAAAAATATTTTTGCAGGAATACATTTGCCATTAAACTTCATTAAAGATAACATGTCTGAAAAATCCATCTGTTGTCATTTGCAATTACAAAAAGCAATAAGGAACACAGTAAGGCAGAAAGGCAGTTTTTCTGTGGCAGATTGCAAACTACTTGACTCTGAAGCATATCGATAAGATTAAGGTTGGACCAAAACATTTGTCAGTCGCTGTTGATGCATATTGCATGTTTTGTGCTTTAGTGTACAGTTTAACAGTGGGGTATTAATGAAGAGATGCCTAAGAAACGAGCTGTTATCAATTCTGGATCTCATTTATCATCTTATTGATTCTTAATGATAAAAAATGTAGATAGAAGCTATGGTGTGTATACATCATTGATACACCTATCATAAGTCCCATTAGGTGGTTTGCTGAAGTATCTGAATCTGAAGCTCAATCATTGCCTTTGTTTGTAGTGTCAGCACATTCCATTGTCTGATACACCTGCAATAGGGAGAACAGTGCTCAGCAAAGCCTACTATATGTACAGCTGCAGCAACTCTGCATCTCAGCCAGTGAGTAATTGTATTGGACAGGGATAAGGTCGTAACCAGAGCTTAATGAGCTTTTGATCTCTCAGCACTTGACGAGGGGAAAGTTTATTAAACAATTAATCAGGAGTGAATCAATGTCATTAACAACATCCCACACTGGGTCAGACATGAGGAGAAGCGGAGAAGGTGGCTGATGAAAAGAGCAGCGAGCTCTAGTGAGGTAGGGAAGAGGTCTTACTGGCCATGAATGGGCACTCACTGGAAACTGTTTTTCTTTCACTGTTTTTTATTGTAACCCCAGCAGTTCTCAGCTTTGCTTATCAGTTACCATACATGCCAGGTGCTTGTTGTGTCTACAAAAATCATTTTCCAGTTCACATGATATGGTTCTTCTTTTGCCTTCAGTCAGATGACTCAGAACCATTAACTATGTTTATTTTTATTGAAAAATAAAGTTCTTTGCATGTTATGCTTTTGGAATAAGAGGCCAGTACATTAAATGTTGCAAATCGCATTAATACAGTATGTGTTCTTGAACTTTTTTCCTTCCGGATTGCTTATCAGCATCTATTATACTTTTGTTTTTTCTTTGCAGCCTACTGTATGTGAACCAAATTTTAACCATCTCTGAAAGTTTCTGCCCTATACTATAGCATGCAACTGTTTTAAAAGGGCTGTGAAAGGTCTCTTAAAGATGGCAAAGGTCTAATGACAAAGGTCTAATGTTGCTATTTTCCAGACCCCTCCTCAGTAGAGCTGGATCAGTACGAGCTCCCAGTCTTAGCAGAGGCACTGAAGAGCTATCTACAGGACTTGCCTTCCCCCTTCATTCCAGCTGGGATATACAGCGAGTTAGTTTACATTGCCCAAGGTAAGGCTTTAATGAGAACAAAATGAGTGATACAGTATGTGAGGATGCTTTCAAAGTGTTGTACCACATAAAGAATGAAAACAATAGATAATTTGCAGTTGCAGACACTTCCTTAGTCCATGTTGCATATATTGAATCAATCATGTTCTATATTTTTCAATAACTAATTTCCCTTGCAGTGGTAGATGGAAGTGGACGATAACAAAGTCAGCTGTCATCGAGGTACCATAAACAAATTCTCTGTTTTTCACCTTTTTTTGTTCTCAATTTAAAATTTGATGTGGTAATGATGCTTGATATTTTTTTCACCTTTAGCATCCATCGTGACTTACCTCACCTAAATGTTTATCCTACTTTGTTAAGCTCCGATGAGATTTATGATAGAGATCCTGTCATCACTACATGAACGGAACAATATGTGAAACAAACTCTAGCACATTAAATATCTGCCCTTATACATTTTAGTTTGAGTAAATCTTCATGGCATCTTTGTATTTTGCCCAGGTTTACTGTGCTTATACTATGCATTTATCATGCTGTACAGTGGTTTATATTTTGCATTACTATACATTTTATGCTATACCATCTTTATTCCATGAGAACACTGTACAATTTACTCTGTTTTTACCATGATATATTGCAGCAAATGTCTGCAAGTGTGAACCAAGAAATTGATAAATGTAGCTACGAAAAGCTAGGCTACCCAAGGAGAAGGAAACATTTTCCAGTCACCAGGAAAATAACCTTTCAATCTGACTCAGTAAAGCAGTTTTAATAGGGTAACCTTTCCCCTTTTAATGCACTGGAATCTATGTTGGCTTATGACACAGTGATAGTGCTGTCAGCTTTATGCTTTGGCATAGAAGTGGCAGAACTGTATTGAAAGAACATGAGATGAACTTGTCATATGAATATTCACCTATTATATTACATAATATCGTAATCCAATTACTTTCCTTGTTCTGACTGGCACTTCATGGTAGATTATCTACAGAATCATTCCAAAATATAACATTCCGCTTTCCTGAAGAATGACTTAATTTCTTTGCCCTTTGCATCACTGTTATCTTTTTTAACAGCCCTTTATATTTCAGAGGCACAAAAAAACATTTACTTCGGTTTGTTCTGGATTCCATCCAATTTAATATTGCATTCTGAATCCTGTCTTGTAGATGTCTTTGCCATGACATCTCGGTCTTGTTAAAGAGCAGCTATTATATATTTCCTTGCTGCCAGGAACTGTCTTGTACTTGGAACTGTGGTCATCTTTCAGTGTGAAAGCAACTGCCACCTGCAAGGCAGGGAGTTAGTCGGTGAGGCCGTTCCTGAAACTTCTATACTGAATGTTTTCCTTTGGTTTTCATGAGAGTGACTTACAAACTAGGTCCTTCTGCTCCTGCCTGTGTGCAATAGGGGTTCTGATAGCTGAACTGCCTTTCTCTACTTGAATGTGCCGTGCAGAGAATTTGTGTGTTGAGAACCTTGTTATTCAGATTTATTTGAATTTAGATGAGATATAGTTTTTTAAAGGCAAGGTAATTCTAGTTTCATATTACAGATCACAATTGTGTAGCACAGTAAAGACTAGATAAATATGAAGAAATTCTTTTTGAGATACAGTAACTGCTTGTGAAATAATCAGTTTTTTTAAGTATGTAAAAAATTCAGACAAGCCATATCCATTAAGTATTGAGTGCATTTAAAGGGTTTAGTGTTGTCAACAGGCTTACAGTGAAATCACTAGACAGTTGGCATGATGCCATTTAACACACATTTCCCACTGTGGCATTTATCTTTCATCTTGAAGTGCGTATTTTTAGGGCCTTATTATGGATCATGTTTAATTTGCTTTTAACATCCAAAACAAATGCATTGTCCAATTATCTCTTTATTTGTACTCAATATGTTCCTAGATTACTGTAGATCTTCACAGTATTGGCCCCTTATTAGTTGTAAGAATCTCTGTGATACTGCCTTATTTTTCTATTCTTCAGAATGTGGTTCCTCTTTGAAGAATTTTGGTGAGCCTCAGGCATTATCTGATGTAAGCATAGAGGATTCACAATGGCCCATCTGGCAAGCTGGGCAGCTCAGGGAAAATTCCAGGAATGCTTTCTGGCTGACTACTGCTGGGAGAAGGGTGCTTAGAGTGGCAGCTGGGGTAGTAAAGTTCAATGTGCTGCCCTATTCAATAAAGGTCAAACTTCATCAATACAGGCTGGGAAAGCACTGGTAGGGGGCAAGGGGTGGGGGGGATGGGAGGATGTTTTAACTCTGACCAAAGGCAGTGGGAGTAAGATGAAGGTCATTATGCTGACCCTGATCACAACAGGCAGCATACTTGTCCAGCACTCCATCAAATTGCCAGCTAGCCAATGGGTTGCTGTTGACCCCTGATCTGGAAACGCTTATCTTATGTAAGCATTCCAGTAAAAAAAGCTCTCCTTAATTGCTGGAGCCACAGTAGTAATTCATTAAAGAAGTACAGAAGAAATAGGCATATGCTACTCCCACCACCTAATGCTGTCCTGGCCTGCAGTTTATATATATTTGCTCTGACATTCACCATAATTGCAGCATTTGGTAAACCATGATACCACAGTCAATAACCCATAATTACACAGGTCCTGCTATAGCGAACCAGGGGATAGCTATCTGCAGAGTCATTTTCCATGCCTTACATCCTGCCATATTGCTGCTATTTGATTACGATAACTAATCACTCCTCAACATTTTGACATTTCTGCTGCACCACACTTTAACAGATTAGTCCCTCTCGGGCAGGATTTTTACTGAAGTGTTGACCAGCTTGTGGTTTCCCATTAAAGCAGATTGCACAGTGGAATACAAAAAGAAAAATGCCCCAAGGAACTAATTAAACCTATTAAACACTAAAGAAACAGCAAACAGTTAAAAACAATGGAAATAAATACATTGTGTATAATCATTACTAGAAGTGCAGTACTGATACAAATTAAGTCTTTTTTTTGCCATGCATAAGAACATTGGTTGAGAAGACACTAATATTGACATCATTAATGACAGCACAGAAGGACCTTTTAAAAACACAGCTCCTTAATATGTGTAGTATCTTTGTAATCAGATTGCAGTTCTTGTGCAAAGGATTTCTAAGACCTGTTACAAACAAGATTTAATAATAATAATAATAATAATAATAATAATATAAATTGCTTACACTTATATAGCACTTTTCTGGACACTCCACTCAAAGCACTTTGCAGGTAATGGGGACTCTCCTTCACCACCACCAATGTGCAGGATCCACCTGGATGATGCGACGGCAACCATAGTGCACCAGAATGCTCACCACACACCAGCTATCAGTGGGGAGGAGAGCAGAGTAATGAAACCAATTCATAGATGGGGATTATAAGGAGGCCATGATTGGTAAGGGCCAATGGGAAATTTGGCCAGAACGCCGGGGTTACACCCCTACTCTTTTCGAGAAACACCCTGGAATTTTTAATGACCACAGAGAGTCAGGACCTCGATTTTACGTCTCATCCGAAGTACGGCCCCTGTTTACAGTATAGTGTCCCAGTCACTATACTGGGGCATTAGGACCCACATGGACTGCAGGGTGAGCGCCACCTGCTGGCTCCACTAACACCTCTTCCTCTTAAATCCTTATATTGCAACATGTTTTTGTACCGTTTTACTTATTTCAAATATATTCCCTAAACATTTATTCCCTAAACATTACAGATGTTTCAGCATTTCCCGCACAACTGTAAAAGGTTTGACCTCTTTTATGAGGTTGACTCAGATAGTGTTCATAACCTTGCGTTAACTGTTGTCCAAGCTTATATTAAATGTCTGATAAAAGCGCTAATCTAGAAGAAATAATAACTGTAATGCTCTACTTGCTTGGGTATCTAAATCCACATTTGAACAAATTGCAGTATGTCCAAAATTCAGCAGCCAGACTCCTGACCAGGTCTAGTGCAAGTGATCACATTACTCCTATCCTGGAGTCCTTGCACTGGCTTCCTGTCAAGTTTCATGTTGACTTCAAAATCCTCATGCTCACCTACAAGTATAAGTTTATGCATGGCTTTGCACCTCAGTACCTCTCTGAGCTATTACCACCCTACTCCCCATCTCGCAACCTTCGCTTCTCTAATTCTGGTCTCCTATCTTTTCCCCAAGCCCGCCTACACTATATGGGTGACAGGGCCTTCTCTTGTTATGCCCCTTAACTCTGCAACTCTCTCCCCAAGGAGATCAGAGAGTTCTCTAAACTCCTTCAAATCCAGACTCAGAACCTTTTTCTTTAGAAGAGCCTTTACTTAACTGGTTCTGTTCTTTACCCCACTGTATTTAGTACCACCTTCTACTGTCTCCTCTGTGTATTGTCATTGTGTTTGTCTTGTGTATTTTTTATTGTTGTTGTTGCTGTTGTTATTCTGTAAAACACTTTGAGAACCCACCTTTAGAGGTACTATACAAAATAAAGTTTATTATTATTATAAAAAATGCTGCTTGGTACTTATTTATTCACATTATTTTTCACATTGGGAATTGTAACAAAAGCAAACAACAAAACATGTTTTTCACTTGTCCATGTCCCAGGGTTGAAACTTTCCGAGAAACAGCCTGCACTTGTTTGCGGAGATGGGTTCCCAAAATTGAGCTTTGAGTTTGGGTTTTCCACTCGCCATCCCCAAGGGTTTGTTTGCACATGATCAGATTGTGCTGATGGGACAGTTTCACTGAAATACACAAGAGTGATCACCGTTTCATTATAGCTGGCAAACTCCCCTGCACATCTTCTGGGTGCTAGCCAAGCCCACAGTGAAGCTGGACTGTATGTAACAGTGTCGTTTAATGACAGAAGTGCTGTGGGAAGCTTATGCACTCACAGACAAAAAAAATGAAAAGAGGGACTGTAAGACTAGTAGACCTGTTTCTGCTTTTGTGTGTGGTTGTGTAGACTATATTCCACTTTACATTTGTCATACAGCATAGTAGATTTGGGTACAATGAATGTTGCATTGTTTTTCTAGTGTTTCTGTATTAATTTTTCTGTTGTGGTACTGGTGTTAACCCCTTGTTAACTAAAGATTAACTTCTTTGAAGGTCTATTGTCCAGATAAAATCATAACCAGGTTTGGGATAGGGATAGGTCACTCTGTACCCAACTGTAACCAGGACTGTTTTTTGGCTTTTTTTTTTAATGTCTGCTTCTGCCAAAACATCTCATATAAATGCAGCAGAGATAATGAGCCATACATGTTCACTCCCGAAGAGACACTGTTAGGTCATCCTCTTTTATTCACACTACAAACACACAGAGCTGAAAGCTCAGTTAAGGCTTTGTAGGGAAGAATCAGGCAGCTTTTAAGGACAGCAAACTCTCAGGTCTCAGGTCAGACATACAGTAGGGCTGGTGTTGTGTGGCAAGTTGAAGATATTCTTACAGAATATTTCTGAACCAGCCTGCAATGCTTGATCTATTTTTGTAATACCCCTAGATAAACCCCAGTCACAGTAAACTAATGACATAACCCAGGGTAGAGACAATAAACCACTGGATAAAAGTGCCAAAAGGCACCCCACACTGACACCTGAAGTAGTTTTTGTACTGGTAAGTTCAGGTATCCTTGAAAAAATTCAAAACTGGTCTTGTCAGAATAAGTCAAGGTGAAACTCAATACTGCACGGAAAAACCACGTAGTATTGGGTGCCGTGCTCATGTCTTTACTTTTTGCCAGTCTTTTTCTGTACTGGTAAAACACAAAACTTAAAAAACTTTGCTTTGTCAGACATTATCAATTCTACTGAGATAAAAACACATTTTGTCAATTTCACAGGATAAAAAGGTAAACTAAAATGTACATTTCTGTGTCTTTTTTCAGAGACACCAAATGTAGAGGAGTGTGGACAACAACTCAAGAAAATCCTTGAGTCTCCAACCATCCCTCAGCCCAACCATCTTCTCCTACTGCATCTAACTAGACACCTGTATCGTGTGGCCCTGTGTGGGGGACAAAGCCAGGCAACACCCAGGCTGCTGGCCCAGTCCTTCAGTGAGGCTCTCTTCAAACACTCCCTCTCTAGGTAAGAATTGTTTTTGTCCTCTTGTTTTCCTGCTTCAGATGGTATTAAATGATGTCTGGTTAAGTGAATGTGTTGTGTACTTTTTACATTTTTAAACAGATATATGGTTGTGAATATTTCAGTATCGGAATTTTGCCATGGTTCACAATTAAATAGTTCTGCCTCAGGAGACCAGTATCAAGAGATTATAAAGTCAATTCTTTTTCATTTCTGGGTCACAATTGCCCACCAGCACTCGGTGAAAGATCACGTGTTCTTTCTAAAATAGGATTGCTCATCAGGAGCCCTAGTGAAAATGCTGAGCACAAGATTTATTAGGTATTGCACATCATTAATGGGTCATCTGATTGTCCCTGTTAGGAACACTGCAACCTGCTATGAATCAGCTGAAAACTGATGGATTAAAAGATACTGTATCTGTCCATATCTGCCTCCCCACTACCTTAGCTGGCAATGTTGCTTTATCATACAGCTGTAAGGCTGCAGATCTAACCTCCTCATCTTTGGTCTTACCATCACATAGTAACTAATTCAAAATATGTACAGCCACCATGGATCAAGCATGGTTCAGTTTTGGCATTGTACTAGACAAAATGAAGACTAACGTGTAAGAATGCACTAATTGTTTTCTGGCAAAGGTGTGTAATACTCTTAGCTCTGTTATAATTATTTTTCTGGTGATTGCTTGTCAGCTAAGAATCGGTGTTGGCAATTCCAGTGCTACTCCACACCAAGCTGCCTGTATGGATCTAAAGAGGCTTGTTTTCTGAGGTTATAAACTCAGTTTCTGAGGTTTTAGAATATATGTACTTTGTCCTGAGGTTAATGAGAAAAATGATTGTCACCAAATAAGCACGTGCAAAATTTGCTTACAAAAATGCCATCCAGTACGTAGACCCAAAGTAAGAGAATCTTAGTAAACATTGTATTTATGAATGGGTCAATTTTAGAAAACCTCCTAATAACCTACTTTAGTCCAATGAGATTCTACTTTATTCTTTTTTCTTTGGGCAGATGGGGATTATAGTTGATAGTGTAGGATGTATAGTAATTGTGTCGTTCTGTGAAATAGAATCAAGGATCAGGCCTTTGTGTTTTGCAATTTCTTTGTCCTTGAGGTGCCTTTAGACAACATTTAAACAGGAGTCAGCTGATGGTTGTCGCTTTAGTGCACATTGCTGTGCTGACAGCTTTAGACTGGGAAACTTTATTTCTGTTTTTTGTTAGTATTCCATTAATGTGGATCTAGGTGGAACCAGGAAAGATTATTTGTATACATATATTTACCTCAAACAATGAATCAGCAAAGGTGGTTTCTAAGACTCACATGGCTCAAAGACTACATGACAAGGGAAAGAAACTCAAAACAAATAGCTACTGGTAAAGTGAAACCAAAGCATGTGAAACTAAAACATTGCAACTTCACAGCAATATGACCTGTACGTCCTCTTTATTTTAAGTAGTTCTTCCTCAACAAGAAAATGTTTTCAATCATAGCATAAATTCTATCTATTCCCATCCATTATTATATTCCTGGATAAGTGTTGTGGCAACCTGAAGCTTTTCTGGGAAACATAGAGTACAAGGTAGATACTTTGGGGATGATTCCAGTCCATTGCAGACACAGGGGTGTCACCTGTTATTTAAAGATTAGTTACACTTGTTTAAGCATTTGACCAATCAAGACATTAATGTTTCAAAAAAGATTACATTAGTCCTTGAGGGCTGAAGGCTCTTCTGATTTTTGATCCCCATAATTACTTAAATAAATTGATCCTAGTTAAAGTGTTCCAGGACATTAGAAAATTGGTCATTTAAAGGCTACCTGTAATACCTACTTGACTGCGGCTCTCACTGCCCAGGGTTGGAGACACCTGATTTAGAAACACCAACTTACCCTGGCAGCATTTCTCTAAAAAATGTGAGGAAACCAGAAAACTCAAAGAAAGCCTATGTATGTGGACTTGGGTAGATCTGGAGATGCAGTGGGGAGAACACTTCAGACTCCTAGGAGAGACTCAAACCCCAAACTCTAAATTTCATATTACAGTTTTGCTGAGTCCTCTATAGCTATTATGTCTGGCCCCAAGTCTCAGCGCTTTTCAGAGAGCTGTGCCTGAATGTTTCACTCTGTGTGCATTGCAGTGCTGACGTGAACCCGGAGCACCATGTGAAGATCATTGAGGCCCTCATCATGGCTGGGGGACTGGCAGAAATGCAGGCAGCGCCAGGTAGGACACATTGAGGTTTCCTCTTCTCTCTCCATGGGGGGTCTTTATCAAGGTTGGTGAGCCGTTTGCTTATTCTTTGGAAGATACTAGCTTGACTCAAGGCACAGTGTACATTTCCATTCATGTTGTCAGTTGATGTATTCTGCTGAGCATCAAATTAATGTAAAACAGGTCAAGGAAGAAAGTCAGATCAGAATTCTTTTCTTAGTCACTGCTTTGGTCTTTTTTATTTCAGCATTGGTCTTTCACAGTTCATTGTGTATTTATCTGAGTATTAAAAAATAAATGATATTATGTTGTTTCTGGTTGAGGTTAAAAAATAGTATTAGTTCAGGTTGCATTCACTGCTGAGAGAGGTCCCACAATAATTCTGTTGCCTGCTTCTGTAAATGGAAGTAGCGGTTGGTACATAACCTGTGATGTGCACTGGGTGTTGGTAGCTGGAGTTATTAGTCATATGAGAAGGAAATAAGGTAGTAATGTATCTTTCTTGGTCTTAGTCTCCTGGGTTTGGAAAGGTGAAGTCATCAACTGCTAAATTTAGATAAACTATTCGCAGACAAACTCTCACGTCTCTTCTATAAACCCCCTGGTCAGGTTTGAAAATTCAGGATGTTTATTCTCTGATAATCAAGCCAGTACCTTATACTGCCAGACTTCAGCTGCAGTAAGGAATAATTAGTATAACTTACTGAGGCTTAAGAGTATAGTGAAAACTCTTCTTTATTCAAGGACAGGATTCATTTGTTAGTCTCTGCAGGGTCTTGGCAGAGCTCTGAGATAATGAGTTCTTGCTTCCCTGTAGGACTCATTGGCAGTAAGAGTTTGTAATAGGTCTATTTTATAGTTTAATAAATATTATTAAGCAAAAAAGTCTTTAGTTTTAGTTTAAAGTTTATTTAGCTGACATTTTTCGCTTGAAAAATAAATAGGTTCTATACATTGTCCTTTATTAACTAAAAAACATGTTATCTAATCCAAAATCCCTAAATCACTTTTTTACAGATACTATAATATAATTCTGACTGTAAGTGACTTGATATCTGTAATGATACAGCAAAAACCACTTTACTGCAGACATTTTCCAACATGCAGAAATAACCAGAAAGTTTTCATTAAGGGTATATACAGTATACGACAGATTCCTTAATATATCCCAAATGACAGGTATCAGGTGTAGTGTACACCTGGGCAATGAGATAGATTTGCAAAGTATCGCCCAGTGTGAGTTAAATGAAGGCCTGTGGAAGTCACTGAAGAAGTATGGCAGTGGGAGGGATGAGTCAAAAGAACTGATTTTGTAAACAGTGTGTCGTTCCTGTGAGAGGCAGGACATGTGGCAGTGGGTGAGCAGCAGAAAATCTGGGGGTACAGTGGTGTGTGCCGATGGCTGGCTGGAAACTGGCCAGTACATTTAATCAAATATTATAACAGCAGTGATGAACACTTGAACTGGAAATGAGCAGAGCAATCCATGAAGTCAAGACAAGACCACATAACTTCAAAGTAAATTACTGCACCTACAATCAAATTTGAGAGCTGGAATTTTTCTCATTCTGAATCTGAAAGACAGCAAGGGAAGTTTCACAGTTTAAATGTTTTTAAGGGTTGCACCATGAGCCTTCACAAAAGTGGGAGAGGGCAACATATGGGGGGGAGGGGATCCACTTTTGTTATGTTAAGTGGTCATCTTGCTTGGGAAGCAAAAGAGCTGTAAAGGAAAAAAAGGGAATGAATGAAAGTAGATAAATGTTGCTTGTAGACAGTGTCATTCACATTGAATGAAGGCATTAAGGAGTAAGTGGGGCTGTCAATGGCATAAAGAGCAGTGCTTCTGTACGATGGGTAACTCGCTCTTTTAAGCAGCACAGAAATGCTCCATTCTTCTTTACCTCTCCCTAGGTTGTTGTCTCTTCACCCTTCATTTAAATTAATCTGCTACACCAATGTTTTAATGAGTCAGCAACCGCTGATAGGCAGCCCTTCTAATGGTATTAATCCCCAGTGGAAATGTATCTCTTTACATAGCGTTTTCATGAAGAAAACATTTGAATTGGGCTCAATATTTTAGGTGTAGGTTTAGATCTCTGTTTTTTTTTTCTTTTGTTTTGTAAAGTCTGTGGTGGAAACTGTAAAGCGCAGTGAATGCTGAAGAAAAGACTAGTATTTTTGGTTGATCTGTGAAGGAGTCTATTAACATTTTGGTTATGATGATGATTAGGCTTGCTGAGTGCCAGATATGAGTAGCGATACATTAGTATCTCATTAGAACAGTACCTTTAGGGAAATCAGAGGATTTAGAGATTTCTTTGTCTCAAGCAAGCAAATAAATCACAGGCAGCAAAAATGATGGAAAGCTAAAAATTCCTTTATTTCCATTTTCTTGTTTCCATTTGTATCTTTTTTTACCTCTGGAGACATACATGCAACCCCACATCCTTTCACATTTATTAAAAAAATGCCTCCGGCCATTTATTTTACATTTAAAATAATCCAAGTTAGGAAGTTGTGTTGGTAAAACATTGCGTTAAAAGAGATCCTATGGGGTCATGTTTGAATTTTTTTTCTCCTCAGATGACTGAGTCTGTCAGAGTCTGATGGATTTATCATGGCTCAAAGCCATTAGCATTTAAAAAAAATAATGTAACTTTAAGAGAAGCACTTTATGCAAATGCAATGACGCCATCCTTTTCTCCTGGTGCTATTTTAAGCTGTCTTAATTTACTGGGGGCTCTGCTTTATTATCTCATGCAATGTCTTTCATCCTGGAGAGCTTTGCATCTCAATTGACAAGTGGTATTGCAAGGTCCTCAACTGAGCTACAATCTCTCTGTTCACATTAGCGAGATTTGAGCTTTGAGAGACAATTAAATAAATAAAAACAGTGCCCAATGAAAAAATGTTGCACCTTGCTTTGAAATGTGTGGTCTGTGCTCTGTTTCTCATATGCAAAACACCACTCTCCTGATTTTATAACTCAAAAGTCAAAGGAACAGTTTTTCCCCAATTGTTCCACTACTGTACCAGCTTTGATATTTTTATTGTGGCTCTCTCTAGGTGACTCAGCACTTTGAGCTTTTTACTCACACCTACATTGAACACTACCTTCTTCCTACAGCCTTTTTTTTACATTAAAATCCCACCCATTTCTAGATGTGAAAGTCACAAAATAACATGGCTCGTGATTCAGCATGACCCACTGGGCATTGTGTTTGGTTTCAGGATACATTGTATTACAACACAGGTCTAATTGTGTTTCATTGTTTTTTTTATGGCAGTGGTGGATATTCAGTTACATATTGTGCCAGTAATATTTTAATTGAAATCATTTGTGATTGAAGGAATCATAAGTTCTAGTTTTTGATGATAAATATACTGTAGGATTAAAGGATGTTGTGCCCCAAAACATGAAGAATAAACAATAAGTAAGATTTTAGATTGTGATATTACATATTCAGTTATATTTAACATTTTACTTAACATTGCTCTATTAACTTTTTGATTAACGTTAAGGTGTTGTAATAGTTTATCTGAAAAGTTAAGACATGGTGTATCATGTACTGTGACTGTGTGTCAGACACAATACATTTTTAGGACAGTTGCTCAATGTGAAACAAATTTGAAAGGGGGTACACTGAGAAGTAAAATAACCCAAAAGCAAAAGGTGTGTCCGTGTGTTGATGACGCTAACAAAAGGAGAATTACTGTCATTTATTCTGCTAAATGAGAAGACAGAAACGTGATCTGGAGGATTCTCTATGTGATGGGGAGGGGATTGCTGTCAGAGAGACATGAAGAACATGGGGTTTGTCATTAATGGACAATGAAAATGCAAACCCTTGCCTGAGAAAATCAGTCCCTTGCCTGATGGCTGGTCACCAGGTCTAGCTGAGGTGGAGATCAGGAGTGACAGTGCTGTTAGAGGCTGAACACACACTGGAATTAAGATGTAAAGCAATACCCACTCTGTGTCTAAGAACTGAGAGGCCTGCATTTTTGTATTGGAATTATAATCGTAAAATGTTTCTGATTAAAATAAACAAAAGGCTCTGTGAAACCAAGCAATTTTTTTAGGGTGAAAACCAATTATTTAAGAATAATTGCAAACAATAGCCCTGCTTTATCGGGTTTGACATTAGTATCTAATGCAATCCCATACTCAGACCTTGCTGTTTATGAAATATTCTCAGTAAGTTCACTACAACATGGCTCTGGATATGTGGAAAAATGAACACAGTCACAATCCAGAATGATACAATCAAAGTTGATTCTGGTTGATTTTTTAATTAATCTGTCCCTGGGGAAAATTATTTAAGAATTTTTTAAGAATCCCTCCATTTATTTTATATGTAGGTCAAACGCCAGCTGTAAATTCATATATCAAGTAGCTCAAGCATTTTCTAAGGCTGTAGGAGGCAAAGATTAATGGCCTGGGGTCAGGAGGTCACCAAGAGCAGTCTTAACCCTCTTTGTGTGCTGCATCTTGCTACTTTCAGTAACAAGGGATCAACTGGAGCCATCACCAGTGATAAGAGCTAAGAGATGAGCAAACTGATGAAGATGTCTAGCAGCAAGACAGACAGGACTGCACAGGGAATCTCTGTTAAGGCCTCTGTGATCTAATTACATATTTGTACCTGAGTGCTTGTCTGTGGAGACTCAGCGTCTTGTCTATGGCTCCACTAGTGTTTGAAACAGACCGTGAAAAATTCACCTGGGCAGCAGTGCTTCTCTTCCCTAGAATGCAAAGCCAAAACAGGTGTAAATGGAAAGCTGTCACACTGCTGTTTTCTTCAGTCTATATCCCAGAGAACCCCTTCAATATTTATATTTTCCTCTGCTATTCTTTTAAAAAAATATCATAGTGTATGAGAAACACACTTTTACAGTGTTTTCCCTGTACTTTTGTGGCATGCACACCCAGTTTTAACAAACCCTTCCTATGTTTTATTATAAATAGATAAGAGTCACTGGGCTGTGTACACAAACATTACTCATTA